CGACCAGTCGGACGTGGACTGGCAGCTGCTCCAACACACAGCGGCATGCGACGTCGAGGTCGATCGACGCCGGCGAGAGCTCGCCACGGAGTAGCACAATCGCATGCGTCGTCGTCGTCACATGCAGAAGCACGCGGTTGTCGACGATCGCAATGGGATTGCCATGGAAGATTGCCATGGACGCGGCGGTCGCCGGCGCCGCGTCGGCGTGAAGCCCGAGCACCGAGCAAGAGGACGAGGGTGTCGGTACTTTCGTGGTCGCGGTTGGTGTCGGGCACGGGAACGATGGCCAGGACAGCGTAGGCGCGGGCGCCGCCGAGGCCGAGGCCGCCTCAGAGCCACTGGAAGCCGACGTGGTCTGTGAGCGCGACTTCGTGGAACGACGCGTGCGAGTGGCCAAAGATCGAGAGACCGACGTTGATCGCAATCATGGCGCCGTCGTCGTCGCCCACGACCACGTTGCACTCGTCGAGCCAGCACACGGCGCTGATCGACGTCTGGAGCGGCAGCGCGCTCATCGCGAACGCGACCTCGTCCCGGCCTTCGGTCGAGAAGAGCGTCGGCTCGATCTTGTAGCAGTAGCGGTGGATCGTCTTGTCGCACGTGACAGGGTTAGCCGCCGTCGACTTGGACGATGCAGGTACGTACGGCTCGGGGGCGCATGCGTCGCGCGCCACACACACGGTTGCAGCATCCTCAAGCCATTCCGGGCAGCACTTGGCTGCCACAAAAGGTATACTGCGGGCACTGCGGGCGACAATCTTATCGCCGGCTTACTGCATGCGATTGAACTCTAGAGCGAGCTGCAAGACGATTCTTTGAGAGTGGACGAGAACCAAGACAACGATACCTAGTTAGCTACAATTGCTTCTCATCCGAGATGCATTTTCTCTTTTTATTGCAATCCCTCTTCGCGAGAGTTCACTACCTTTCTGCAACTCTCGTCTAGGTCGGTTAGTTCCGTTGCCTACAAGTGTATCCGCTTCTCCTCGAAGCTCTCCCTTCTTCTATCACTACATGGTGCTGCGCGTGGGCCGATCGCTGATCGCTTATCGCTGCTATGGTCATCGCTAACGTGTCATCTCTGCACCGTGATGTCCTCTCTGTGTTTGATATGCCTGTATGATTCGCATCTCTCGTTTCCAACACGTTGCGTACACCAATGCCTTCCGACGTGGCAACTTATTTTCGGCAGCGTGGCATTGACATACATTCCTTTTTTTATAGCGTTGTGATTGGTGTCCCAAGCTCGGACAACAAACATTTCGGTGTCCGAACGCCGGAGGTATTGATTGGTCTTGATCCCGTCCCTCTTCTTTGAGGTCGCGTTTCCGAGAGGTAATGAATGCCATCGATTCTATGGATGCATCGTTTTTGAAAAGGCCAAACGGACGAGCAAAGTTTATCAAGAGACCAGCGCCGAACTGTATCTGGTGCACTGGTGCAACGTGTGCGAGGACAACACGACCGACGTTGACATCACTTTTCTTTCTTCCCTTCTTCGAATTCAAACGGCCAATTTGCTAAGATAAATACAATTTGTACCCTTCAGGATGAGGGAACCTAACTCTTGGAGACCATTCCAACGTGGGCTCCTTAGCCAGTCGAAGCAAGAGACGGACACGAGTTTTGGTGCCAAGTCGGATGAAGGCGCCTTAGTACTAGGCGGCCTAAGCTTGCGCGTGCACACCACTTCCGAAAGCCCATATCTGAACTTTGTACGCGCAACGAAAAGTGCGATGTTTAAGGACGGTTGCTGTGCTGCAGTGCCATGAGACCCGCGTCGTCGGCTTGCAGATGCGGCGCCAAAATGGCCACGATCTCAGCGGCGGTCGGGCGGTTGTTGGGCTCGGACGCCATGCAGCGCATTGCG